TGCTATGGTTTGAATGTTTATCTCACCACCAAAATTAATTTGTTGAAATACTAATTTCCAAAGGTGATGATACTAGTAAATGAGCCATTTGAGAGGTGATTAGGTCATGAGGGTACAGCACTGATGAATGCTATTACTATTCTTAATAAAAGAAATCCTATAATGTGCCCTAGCCTCTTTCATCATGAGAGGATTCAATGAGAGGTTTGCTATCTAGAAGAGAATCCTCACCTGACCATGCCAGAAACCCTGATCTTAAACTTCTGACCATTAGAACTGTGAGAGAAATTTGTTGTTTATAAGCAGCCCAGTCTGTGGTATTTTACTATTGCAGCCTGAATGGATCAAGATTCCAAAGAAATGAAGAATGAAAGAAGGCATGTTTGTATTTGAGATAAACATTAAGAAGGGACTACGGTGATGGTTCACAGGTGAACTGGTGGTGGGAATTTTTATGGGGAATACACAATGATATAAAAGCTATGAATAAAAAATAAATTAAAAAATAAAGTTTACAACTTTTGGGCAAATAAAAAAAGAATCAATTGTATTACTCTATTATTTGTCAGATTTTCTCTAATGAGAAAGATGATAATTTACCAAATGAAAACCAAGGGGAATGTGTTCTACATGCAAGATACTTTCCAAATGAAGATCTTGGCCAAGAAGTGAGAACATTTTCTAGGATGCATAGTATGTTGTTGATGTTCAAACAAAGTTTTTCTCAAGTGATGCCAGATGAGGAATGAAGATGAACTACAGTGACAGATTTATGGTTCTTATTTGTTTCTTGCAGAATTTCAAATTATGAAAAATCAAGGCTTTTCCATAGGCATCAACATACATTGTAATCTAGAACAAAAAATCTCTTCCCTGTGCTATAGAAAAATAGCATTGCAGATTTTGCAATTAAAAGGGGCCTTAATGAATAAGCAAATGTGGTATACCCATCCAATGGAATATTAAATATTAATATTAAATATCTTTTCAGTGACATGAAAAGATATGGAGGAACCTTAAATGCATATTGCAAGGTGAAAGAAGTCAATCAGAAATGATCATTTTTGCCAGGGTTTGTGGGAGACAGGAATATGTGGTGCACAGATGATGTTGTGGACAGTGAAACAATTCTGTATATGGTAATGATGGGTACACGACAGTATACATTAGTTAAAACCCCATGCTATGAACTCTAATGTAAACTATGTACCTTAGTTTACAATGCATCAACTAGGTTTATCCACTGTAACAAATACAGCATGAGTATCCAAGATGCTAATAGCTGGGAGATCTGGGAAAAGGGACAGACTGTGACAATCCATTGGGAACTCTATCCTGAATTTGTCTATTAACTTAAAACCAAAATAGTCTTAATGTTTATAAAAGCAATCTTATAAAGGAAAAAATTAAAGTGAGAATCTTAGGAAATCAGAATAAGTATTATGATTTCAAATTTGTAGAGGGAAAACACAGTGGAAGGGAATGGCTATGGAGTTCTTCTTATAGTCTTATTCACATCAGATGGTATGGATATTGAGAGCAAAAAAAATCAAATGTTAAACATCTGCAAAATGATAATAACAAAGGAATATACGCTCAAGCAGCACTGGATCACTGCATGGCAACCAGAAAGTTGAGATGGTGAAGCAATTAAGTGACGCAATAACAATGAAGAACATGATAAAAGGTCAAGATAAAAATTGAGGAATTACAGGTGAAGGAAAACATGCATTAAAAAGGGGGAAATGTGGAGAACTCAGAAATGTTTCTAGCCACTGTATTTGCTTTATAGTTTCAACATAGGGCCACTGCCTGTGTTGTATAGCAAGCAGTGTGCAGTCAAAGGACATTATTTGAAGTCGTCACAAACTTTCAAGAATGTAGGGTAGGGAGCTAAGGTAGGCTGTCACTCAACTTTTCAAAACTTTCAGTGCTTCCTCACCTCTAATATTTTCTCTCGCTCATTCTCAATTGGTAGGAAGATTTTTTCACATTCAAATCATTTCCAGACTCACTCGGCTTTTTATCTGAAGAGGACTAAAATGAACTAAAACAATTCTGGCTTGGTTTTGTCTCACACTTTACTTCCACCCTGTGCAAAGAAGTCAGGTAAAGTGAGTGAAGAGAACATGAATGATTAGAGTAAGTACCTCTCCAGCTGCCCTGGAGATGTTCACAAATCCTCCTGAAAATAAAAGGGAGAAATGTATAATATACTAAATAGTTTTGTCCCTGGTTCCTAAAACATGGCTCCTAAAACCTTTCAATTCTCTGAAGTGATGCGTGTTTTTTGCATGCTGATGAAATCACTGGTGGCGGGGGTCCCCAGAAAATCATGTGTATTAGTGGGTTGGAACTTTAGCTGCATCCTCCCCAACAGCTGCGTCCTCCAGGAAAGTGAGAAGGGCTAGAGACTAATTCAGTGGCCAGTAATTTTATTAACTGTGTCTGTGTATTAAAACCTCCATAAGAACTCCTAAATGAAAGGTTTTGGAGAACTTCTGCACTAATGAACATATCAAGGTTCTAGGAGGGTGTCAGGCCCAGAGAGGTCATGGAAGCTTCACCCTGTGCATCTCTTCTTTTTGGCTGTTCCCAAGTGGCATCCTTCATAACTAACCAGTAATATTAAGTGCTTTACTGGTTTCTGTGAGTCCCTCTAGCAGGTGTCAAACTTGAGATGGTATTGTAGACACCTCCAAATACATAGTCAGTCAATCAGAAGTGTCAGTGACAATTTGGGACTTTCTTTTGGCATCTGAAGTAGGGAAGTCCTGTGGGATTTGATGCTGGCTCCAGGTAATATCAGAGTAATTTGATTTGTAAAATACCCAGCTGGTGTCAGAAAAGTGTAGAATAATTGCTGGCGTCCAGAAGATACCACAGAATGCTTTGTGCTTGAGTAACTGAGAGATGCTATTTCTTTCTGAGGGTAACTAGACAGTCGACTGTTGGCAAAATATTTAAATACCTATATTCAGTCTTTGAGGATGTGACAGTGCTCCTTATCTGATAGATGAAGAAACACCTGAGAACCCAAATGAAATGGAGTAAAAGTGAGAGAAACTGAAAGATACTTCTGTAACACCATAGTTTAAACTCCTCCTGGGAGAAAACAAGATACAAATTCACAAAGAGGGTCTGCTAGAGAAGTTGAAACCTACTGTTTTTGCTCCTCCTGAAGAAGAATGAATATCTGTTGGATACTTCTGGACACTTGGCAAAATTCTTCAAAGTGTGGGCTATTATTCACTATAAAGGTCTCAGAATCATTTTAGAAGGCCACAGCACATCATTCTGTTTGTTTTTTAGGGCTGTTTAATTTGGGAGTTTTCTGTGTGTTCACTTGAACTATTACCAAAATAATACACATTAACTGTCATGTTTTATCATATATAACAAGGATTTATCTGTCATAACAAAAACAGTTTGAAGAAAAGTGCTCTGAATGGAATGAAAGCCAGTTTGAAGTCACCAAAAACAAATTCAGAGGGCTAATTTGGTTCTCTCAGCCCCTCACTGCCCTTGTTCCACTGCACCCCTAGCTTGCATTCAGGAGCCCAGTCCACCGCAACACCTCCCTATGGAGGCCATAGGAGGGTATGTATCTTGATAAAAGTGCCCTGCAGGGGAGAGGATTCCTATTTCTTCTCATTTCTGATCAAAAGAAAACCCAAGATCAAAAGTCTCCAAGCAACATACTCTGAACCTAGCCAATTCACTCTGCCTGTGTGGTGGATATTTGATATTTCCTATTTTACCATTATAAGGAAATACTAAGAGCCAGGGAGAGCATCAAAATACACTGGAAGCTGCAGCAATCTAGTAAAGCACCTGAAAGCATGACATGGTAGGGGAAAGAAAAAGACATTTTTCTTCTATCCATCATAGGTTCTGAGCCCCATAAATTAGACTAACCAAAGACAGATAAACAATAGAATTATATTAACATGTGCATCATGCATACACATGTGCATCATACATATACATCCAGTGCTAAGTAATTCAAAAGGATAATTAGAATTTGGGCTTATACAGAATCTGAACAAAAAAAAGCAATATATTTTTAAAGATGAACAAAACAAAGGAAAAGGACTTTGAGCTTCTAGGGCAGCAACATGTGAGAAGGCAAATATCTAGGGGAACTATTCAGGACTGGGTTCAACAAGGGTTATTACGTAGGTCCCTCCCTGTGTTGTCTTTGAGCCATAAGGGTCCAGAGTTCTTTCTACTATTAATCTTACCACTTTCTGATTGAGAGGGAGGGTTATACCTGCACAAATGTATGTCCTGCTTTTAGGCATAGGGGGAGGGCAAAAAGCTTTCTGCTTCTCAATTGTGATCCATTCAAAATAATCCTTATCCAATTGGCACATTTTGGAAAGGCATATTCTACCATATTCTTCACATTATGGCATATTCAACTGCAATTTCTATGAATAATGGCACTGTGGAATATTATTTTAAATGCTCTTGGTCATACTGTGCTCAGACCAAAAGCAACAGACCAAAAAACTGAACATTAGTATTTATGGGCTTGGTCATTATCAGAAAGCATTAAAGCTCTCAAATAGCTTTGGGCACAGAACTGGAAAGTGTGGGAAGAAAAACAAACACCAAAAAATTAATTTCTCTGGGGTCGGGACTGAAGTGATCTTTCAGTAGCACATCCTTATTATGATGACTGGCTGGCTGATGTCACACACATTGGTAAAGGAGCACAGGTGAGGGTAGCAGAAAAGAAACTGGGAAACTTTCCAGAAAAATAACATTTATATGCCAAGTCCTATTTAAAGGGTTTGTGTGTATTATATCACCTAATCATTAGAAGACTAAGGAAATTTTTCTTTACAGGTGAATTCCATTATCCAATTTTAACCACAATTTTCAGGAACCATAGCAGAAAAAAAAGGCAACAAAAAAGCCATTCTCATTCTTGACAACTCCATTCTAAAATTTTCATATGTGTAGATGAACCAGAACACGAGAATTTGACCTACCAATAAAATATAACATCATAGTCTGTCTCCGCTGTCTTTAACAATTTCACCTATATGAAAGAAAAAAGAAATCTCAGTGAAGGGCTCGAGTCTGAAATCCTCAAAATGATGTATTACATGAGTAATGCCAAATATAGAAAATGCAGTATACTAAAAGGTATTTTGAAGATAGCTTCCCATGCCATTAGGGAAAGAAAATAGAAATAATTTTATCTACACTCTCATTTTTCCATTTTTAAATTTTATTTGAACCATTCTATAATATGGTTTTCTATATGAACACCCTTTATTTTCAACTTAAGTGCAAAAACTTTCTGCCATGCCCACTGCTTTTTTTTTTTTAATATTGGCTGGAGGAGGCCCTCAAGAAATGCTTTTCAACTATAAGATACCAGAAAAATTGAGGAATAACCATACAATAGGTCATGGAAACACTAAAAATTATATTTACACAATCTAGCAAATGAAAAGTTGAAAGACTTATCTGATTTCAAAACTTACTTTAAATAAAATAATGTGTTGCTAGCATACAGAGAGCCATAGATATCACCAAAGTAGAACTGAGAGGACTGAAATGAGCCCATGCATCTATAATAATCGATTTTGACCAGGGTGCCAATACCACTCAGTGGGGAAAAGAATAGTCTCTTCAATAAATGGCACTGGGACAACTAGGTAAGAGCATGCTAAAGAATGAAATTGAATTCTTACCTGACATCACATACAAAAACTTAAAATGGATTAAAGACAAAAAGTCACATTATATTATTCCATTTATGTGAAATATCCAGAATAGGTAATTTCCTACAGACAAAGCAGATTGGTGGTTTGCAGGGGTAGGGAAGTTGGAGGAACAGGAGACTGTTCAATGGGTGTGGTTTCCTTTTGGGTTATGAAAATGTTTTTGAACTAGATATAAATGATATTTGCACATCAATGTGATTGTACTAAATGCCACTGAATTATACACTTTAAAATGGCTAATTGTATGTCAATTTTGCCTTAATAAAACTATTATGTTTTCAGAAATATCCAGTAATACAATGTCATGTTCATGAATCACAGTTAAATAAAGTAGGACATAAAATAAACTATAGCACACAATTTCAATCATATATATAAATAGATATGTCTAGAACAAAAGACAGGAAAGAAATGATACAACATGCTAATAGTTATAGGTTGCTTGGTTGGTTTGTGTAATTAAATAGGAAAAAAGTAAAGCTACTTTCAGTCTAGCATTTCAGACTGGAAAAGCAAGCTATGTAGGAGTCGGGGGAGAACAGGGAAGAGAAAGGAATGATAACTGAGAAACATACTTCTAAAGAAGAGTAGGTGAGAAGCAAGAAGACACCCAGCAGAACACCAGATTCAACTCCAAAAAGCAGGGCTGGAGGTGGTGTGCAGAACCTCTGGGAAGACACCTACCAACCTAGACCTTCTCATTTACAATGCCAGCTCCAAAATGAAACTGGCAGCAACTGATGATGGGGCAGGAGTTCCGTGGGTCTAGGACCTGAGTTATTTGAAAGAATGGGTATTTGGATGCTGTGGCTACACTTTCATGTAGTGGTTGAGAGGGAGCTACATTTTAGCAGTTGGCTCCATAAATGTGTGAGCACATGTCACAGAGACATGTCAATATTCTGAAGCTTCACTACAGATTCCTGACCTTCTTCACAATTAGAATGATTTCCCATGTCAGGTTTTGGCTATTGGACTATGAGTAGAAGTGAATGGTGTCTCCTCAAAACTGAGACATTTGCAACAGCTTAGAAGTCACACCTTTCAGATGGCATAGCTACCTGATGGAGCAGGACCATTTGGTCTTTATTGTATTGAGCTAGTGAAATTTTGTCATTAATTATTCTTAGACAGAAATTGAAACCCAGAGGCAGAGTGTTATCATTACAAAAACCATAAAATACACACACGAGGTTAGGATATCAGGGGTTTGAAAGATGATTCACATTATGCAGGGTCAACAAACTGAGTGGTTAGCACAGGTTCTGACCCTGTGCTGGCTTAGCAGGCCTACCATATTGAAAACAGAGGACCAGTGTTTATTGGTTGCCACTGGCTGTGTATGTCAAGGTAGCTAGAAAGATGAGCTAGGGGAAGTACTGGTCAGTACAAGGAAATATTAAACATCTCAAAATTAAACATTTCATAAAGTCCAATAAAACCTCTCAATTTGATAAAGTGATGACTCAAAACACAGACGAAATTAAGGGTGCAGCAGGATAAATCAACCTAAAGATCTAGGCATGATGACTATGGTTAATAATGTTATATTGACTGGAAGTACACTAAGTAGATTTCAGGTACTTTCATCACACACAAATAATAGTAAGTCTGAGATGATATGTTAATTAATTTGATTATAGTAATCTCTTCATTATGTATGTGCATATCAAATCATGTTGAGCACCTTAAATATATACAATTTTTTTAATAGAGGCATGTTTTATTTATTTATTCATTTGTTTGTTTGTTTTTGTTTATACATGCAGTGGGTACTGTCAGAAGCGCGGGAGGGTGAGAGAATTCACCAGAGCCAGAGCGGGGAGCAGAGCAGGCAGAAGGACCAAAGCACACTGCTGAGGGGAGCAGCGGGAGGCAGAAGGGGTCTGCGTGCCATGTGGGACCCTCCTCCGGTGGCCGGGGAACAGCCGGGGATCGAACCGGCGCCGCAGAGGCCGCGGGCAGCTTCGCAACCCAGCGCTCAACTGCTGCGCCACCAGGGAGGCCCAAATATATACAATTTTTATTAAAATTACATATATGTAAACTTTAAATATACCAAGATAATCAGCAGAAAATGTCTCATTTTAATTTTTAAAATTTGTGGTGATGAACATGATTTTTCTTGGCCAACTGTATTTCTTTTTAGTGAAAACCTCCATGTAATCTTTGTTTTGTTTCCATTGAGTTATTAATCTTTGTCTCTCTGATTTATGAAAGCTATATATGAAAAACCTTAGGCCCTTTTCTGAAAAATAAAGGGGGTATAGGGATATGGCTTTCCTCCGTATTGTTCCTCATAGCCTCGAGGTTGTAGTCATTAATTTGGGATGAAGAAAAAAAGGATGAGAAAGCAAACAATGTAGATTTGAGAATCATGCCTCAAAAAGATTTTGAATATGGTTACTGACTCATGAAACATGAAACATACTGGAAGCAATGATCAGAAGGCTACTTAGCTCTTAAGGGAACTGAATTGCCAAAAGAAACCGAAAGTTGCGACTAAAAGGTCTTTGTCTATTTGAGACATAAAATGACCCTCAGATTTTCACAAATAAGAAGCAGACTGAGGAATATGTGCAGTGCTTGAGGAGGGAATATTGCCCAGGCCTACTTCAGCCACGGCCAAAGAAGATAAGAAAAAAAATGAGAAAGCCCCTGGAAGGCCAGGCTAGGGTCCACTGTAGAACAACAGAAAAAGGAACTCCTTTCAGAGGCCTAATAAAGGAATCACTGCACCCAGGACAACAGGAATACTTGCCATGCCTAGTAGATTTTGGGTTACTGAGGGACCAGCGCCTGCTAGGTGACTCCCTTCTTTCCTTTTCTAAATAGTAGGAAGTAATTTAGAATCCCAGTAAGTGTGCTTTTCAACTACCATGGATGATAAGTAGGGGAACGCAATTTGATTTTTAATTCATAGACCTCCAAACTAAAAGGGCCATGTACAGATCTAAGACCACTTATGAGGCATTGTCTAGAAATGTTGGACTTGGATGACTACCAAACCCCTTGCACCCCTCTGCAATCCCCTCTCCTATAGGCTGTTGTTAGTTAGGGCTATTAAGCTAATTTTGCCAATAGATTATGAGTCAATGTGTCTTTTCCAGCTTATTCTATACTGCTTGTTGAGACTTTGTAAGTTACATATTCCTGATGACGGCCACGGAGGCCACTTTATATGAAGACAAAGTTTTAGGTTAATTAATTTGGGGTGATTTGTCTGTTAGAGCAGCTAGCCTAAAAGCTTTGTGATGAAATTCTTTTAAAAAGTTGGTGTTAATATAGGATGGGATTTGATCACTGAATAGCTAACTTCAGGGCCCTGAAGCAGTGATGTCAGCGTAAAGGCTGATCACATAATTCATAGTGTGAAGGGTTGGAGCACCAAGTCAGAGCTCTGGCACATCCTCGAACTCACAAGGCATCTTTGGGGAAGTCACCTGGCCACACTGAGCTTCTACAAATCACTTATAAAACAAATGAATAGAACCACTTTTTCTAAGCCCTTTCAGGCATTAAAAAAAAAATAACATCTATGGTTCTCACCTATGAAAGTGTAAGCTCATCTATACCTTTCACAACTTAAATTTCAAATAAAACCATTGAGTCTGAAGTCGGGGTGTAACATTGGATGATGGCTCACAGAAACTTCTTAAGAATGATTCCTGCTCATCTTAAAAATTGGTTCTTGGCTGCAGTACAGCTTGTGGGCCCCAGCCAACTGGGAGGGGTGCTCAAGTCTTAAGTTACTAATAGTGGCTTTTGGCTGCAGAATATTCTGATGTAAACATTGAAGGTTTAGGTCATCCTTACAAAAGATCTTTATTTCCCTCAATGGGACAAGAAGGATAGGAGTATGTTTGGCTTGCCCACTCTACACCAGCACTATGGTCAGTGGCCTTTTAATGATACATCCTTACCAGCTGATGAATGCCAGTTACAGTGACCCACTTGCCTGCAATTCTTTTCCCTTAGTTTCACTCATTCTATATTTTAAAAAAAATATTTTTTTGTAATTGATACTAATAAGGATTTCACTGCTCTTAATTAATAGCTGTCCTTCAGAATTCTATGGTGTTCTTAGAGCTAGGTAAGGAGTTTGATTCTTTCCTAAAGAACCCAGATGACTCATCAGCTGGCTCCTTGAGTGTGCAGTAGACAGGTCCTTTTGTTGCTATTAGCATGTTGACTACAACTGTAGTTACCTGGTGACAGGATGAAATTACACAGACATCAATTTACTTTCATACCCCCCCCCCAGGCAATTTCCAAGAGAAAGCCACTCTTGCAGGGAGTATGTAAT